AATAACAACTTTTTTTTTCCTTCCTTAACAATTTTCTAAAATAATATATTAATAATTTAATATTAAAAAAAAGAGTTAAGGGTGGCAATTTCCCCCTTTTGTCCTTTAGTGGCTCCGCCACTAATTAAATGCCAAAAAAACTCACATATCACTAGCCTTTTACATTCTTTTATTTTGTTTTTTGTTTTTCCTAGTTCAAGTCTTTTCTACTTTGATCATTAATTTTTTTTTAATTTTATTAATTTATGTTGCATTCACAATAAAATGAGCTTGATAATTTTATTTATTTATTTTCTCTAGGATTATGGTGATTTATAAAAAAAGAAGATAATTTGACATTGGATTGATACTTGGTTTTGTAAAAAATAAAAATTAGTTTTATTATTTATGAAAAAATAAAAATATAGGGACCAAAACTAATAGTGAGGCAAAATACAAGATTTTTTTTTTAAATTGTTCATTAGGCGCTTTTTAAAAGATAATTGCCACCAAAATCTTTTAATTTTCCTTTTTGGTTTTTAGTTTGAAATTGTAATGTTTTAGTCTAAAACTTTCACATTTCAACCTCTGAATTCAAATGAAGAGAGAGTCACTAAAGAACAGTTGAAGAGAAAAAAAATAGTCAGTTGGCTAGATTTTGTGATAAAAAAGTTAAATTTAGTGTCAGCACGTTTCTTTTGATGAGATGAGTATCATTAAGGTTTTTTGAACTTCTATATTGTCAGGGGAAAAAAAAGTTGATAGGGGTTGGGGGAAAATCAATATTTACTTTTATGTTTTTAAAAGGATTGAAGAATATTTTGAGTGAGAAACTAGTTTATTAAGATTCTTAGAGTGTTTATTTGGTGTTCAAAAACTCTAACCCAGTTTCTCAGCCGCTTCTTTTATGTCCAAAATACAAGCAATCACATAGCCTATTGTCTTTTAAAAATAAAATAAAATAAAATAATGAATGACATATCATCCATCCTTGAGCGAAAAAAAGAAGAGAAAGAGAAGGTTAAGAGTGCAAGCGCCTAGTTTTATAGGAGCCGTGAAACAAGTTTTTTTTTTTTTTTCATTGAGTTAGGTATATGTGCCTCATTTTTTCGGCTTAAACATGTGGTTCTTTTCCATGATTTTTTTTGTTTTTCAGTTTTTGATTGAATGCATTATTAACAAAAAAAGGTTAACTTGATAATTTAAATTAGTATTTAATTTTTTTCATGGTTCTTGAATAGTATTATAAGTTTTTGTGGGAATGTTAATGATTTTTTTCCAAATATTATATACCTAATGTGCAAAAATAAGAAATAAAAATCACTCATGAATATTTAATAAATATAAAATTTATGTTCTTTAGTTTTTTTTTTGGATTTTTTACATTATTTTAAAATATTTATTATTTTTTTTCCTTCAATCACATACAAAATGTTTAGAAATTGTTTTAATATTTGTTTTTAAAACAAGCTTTTGAGATCTAGATAGCTTTTTATTTAAAAACAATGTGTGAAAAAACATGTTTTTGTTAAAACAATAAAAAAAATACATTTATAAGAAAATTAAGTTTATATTGAAGAAATATATTTCTATGTGATAATTATATTTGTTGTCTTTCCTACAAATGTTTATTTTAATATTGTTTAATTAAATAAAAAATAGATTTCATAAAACAACATTATTAAATCCAAAATGTTGTTCAAATTTTTTTTATAAAAATATAAATTGATTTTATTTTTATATCCTTTTAAAAAAAACTGAAATCAAGTTTTGATCAAGTTGACTGAATTGTAAGTGTATCTAAAAAAATTTACATATTACATATAACCCAATTCTTATAAAACAAATTGCATTTTATTTTTAAAAAACAAATTAGCATTGTTTTAGAAATTTTATTTTTGCATTTTTTTTTTAAATTTTACAACAAGTTTGTAAACTTCTTTAATAATTTAACTAATATTTCAATAGCCATAATTCTTTTTCTTTGAAAATTAATGGCCAACATTTATTTAGTATAAATGTTGGACTTACAAGCAGACTAGTATTTAAATATCAAAACTTGATTAGAAAGTTTTTAGAATTTTTTTGAATATTCACTAATTTTAATTAAGAATATTTTCACCATAATATATGAGTTGTGGAAAACGTTTTTGCCTTCTAAGATAGGTAAACCTTGCTAGAGCACCTCTATGGATTTTTCCTATAATATTTTATTTAGGCATAAAAACCCATAATAAATTTAAAATATCATATTTATTTATGAGAGTAAATCTTTATTATGGGTCATAGATGGATCATCGATTAGGAGTTCATCAACTATGAGAGTAAATCTTTATTATGGGTCATATAGATGGATCATCAATTAGGAGTTCATCAACTCCTTTAAAGTACATCCAAACCATATAATGTAGTTTATCTCAGATCAGGTATGCTAAGGGTGCTAATATTTTTCTTCATCACAACTAGTTCTTTACCCTAAAATTTCAAATAAGACCAGTCCATCTGGGTCTTGTAGTGACATTAAACCAAATAGCTAGGTGATGACTATTTAATCCTAACATCCTGTCATGTCGCGCATAATAGAATAACGACTCTACTAAAGATAATTTAAGCTCAAACGTCCTTAATAGAGATAAACCTAATTAATTTTACATAATTAGGCCTTGTCAAAAATTGATTGAGATAAGTTTAATGACTTTTTCAAAGTAACTCTTAGTTTTTAATTTGTTCAATTTAGCCTCTAATTAAGCCTTAAACTTTTATTTTCTTCAATTCAGCCTTTGGAAATGTTTGATATAGTCCCCAATGTTGTGTGCCTTTTACATAATGGTCACTAACCTTGAATTTATTCAATTTGGCCTTAATTAACCATAAACTTTGATTTTCTTGTAATTAAACCACTGATTGCACAAATTTAGCCTTTCAAAGTTTTAATTATATCTCTAATCTTTCAATCTTTGTAAATTGATTTGAATTAGATATATAAACTTGATTTTTCTTCAAGTGAATCCTCGACTGACTACTCAAAACTCATTAGAAATTTGACTAAGTTTTTGAATTTAATTAATTCTTTTAATTTTGGTCAAGTCAAATTTCAATCTTAAACTTTGTTTCAAATTAAATCTTTCTTCAGCACATTGTTAATATAGCCTAATATGATTATTCTTTTGCCACTTGAAGATTTATCTCCTCGTTTAAAAAAAAAAGGATTTTAAAATAAAAAATATGTATTTTTATAAAAACAAATTGTTTTATCCAAAATTTAGTTACGACATGTCTGATAAGTCAACTTGAAAATTTCCTGACTTACTCTCTACTTGACATAAGTTTCAAATTAAACCAAATGAATGTTGACTTGACGTGACTTGATTGACATAATAAAACCAAACATGATTCAATTAAAATGTAGTTTGATTTTAAAAAATTCAAGATTGTTATTTTTTTTAAATATTAAATGATGAGGTTTTGAAGTGACTTATGTTAACCCAATTTAACAGGCTAAACTTGCCATTTGAGTCATGAATTCAATTGAGTTTAAAAACTTTACTTTTTGAAATATATCTTTTAATTTAATTATATAATAATAAAAATAAATATTCACAAGAAAGCCATCAAATACAATTTAAGAAAAATAACAATTATGAAGGATAATGCAAAAGGAGTGCTTGATAGTATTATAAAAGGAATGCTATAGTTTTACTCAAAAACAAAGTAAAAAACAAATGATATTTAATAAATTAATATTCTAAATGAATTACTCAAAAACAAAGTAAAAAACAAATGATATTTAATAAATTAATGTTCTAAATGAATTTTTAATTAATTTGTTTTAATTAATTTTAATTAAAATAAAGGAAAAATATTAAGAAACCATAAAGGCCAAAAAAAGGTGAATTCTTATGCCTAGGTGGGCTATTGTTTATGACCATTTGTTTTTTAATGGACAACATATCACTTATATAAATCTAATTTTTTAAAAACAAATGATGTATCATTTGCTAGTTATATTATAAAAATCTCAAGTGGTTGAGAAGTCTGGTCTGGTTTCTTAAATAAAAAAATATGTTTTTAATTATTTTTCACTTAAAAATATAAAAAAAAACATCTCATAAACCGTATGATATACTAATTCCTAACCACAAAATAACTTTTAACTAGTTCAAAAACAATGAAAATCATCATGAATCAAAGATTCTAGAGTCTTGATTTATTTTTGTTTCTAACAAGAAAAGGAGCTAAAAACACTTAAATAAAATTTATTTCATCAAATAAAACTTATTAACACTTATATCATTTTTTTAGATGTTGAAATAGGACAATTGACAACTCTTCTCCTCTTTTTCTAGCAACTCCCTCTCCCCTCGTAGAATACAAAAATAATATGAATTGAACTCCTTGCAAAAAAAAAAAAAGAGACTAATATGTAAAACAAAAAAAGTGCATGACCCAATCTCAAAACTTCAATAAACAAGGATGAAAATGAAAAATAAAAGAATTTCAGGTACAAAAAAATTAAAATTTATGCCTTATGAATAATAAAAAAATAAACTTTTTGTTTAATTATTGTATTGGATCCACACAGTTTCAATTCATTTTAAGCAAAGTCTATTTAAGCAAATAGAACATTAACTTAATCTCTGAATGGTTTTTTTGACATGTGAAAACCTCGTAATAAATTAATTAAAATAAATTATTAAATTTAATTTTTAATTATTGTAACATAGAAGAATAAAATTTAAAAAAATTTAAGTAAAAATGCTTCAAGTAAAAAAAATAAAAAGCTTTTCAATACACAATACTTTGTTTAAGGGGATACAATGTTTTCCCATCTGTTTATTGATTTTTTTAGTAATTATAATTTGTAATTGTAATATAGTTGTATTTGTAACTGTAATTATAGAACATGAAGACCCAGCATGAAGGATAAATAATATCCATTGGATCAGGGTATAATTGTCATCTCAATTTGTCACAGTAAAAAACACGTATGGCTCACCATCAACCAAACAACCGGAAACGCACGCACGCACGCCCCATTATAAAAACCGCAGAGAAGGAAATAAACAAGTCCCGTATCACCCAGTTGCTTCCATTTTTTTTAAACCCTAAAATTCAAAACCAAAAACAAAAATCATCCCTGATAATCTCACCGGGAGTAGCACCATGAGCCGATACGACAGCCGCTCCGGCGACCCAACTTCTTACCGTGACAGGAGAAGGTAATCATCTCAATGTGTTTATAATTATACAGCAGTGAACAACTGGATGAGGATAGCTTGTTTTGCTCTTTCATTGTTACTTCATTTCTGTGAATTTTGTGTTTCTTTAGTGGTTCAGGTTTCGGCGGCGCTTCCAGTTATGGTGGTAGCTCCACTCGGCCATCATCCGAGAGGAGGGAGTATGGTCGTGGTGACTCGCCTGCGAAGTCGGATTTAGATGGGCTGACTCCATTTGAGAAGAATTTCCATGTGGAATCCCCATCAGTGGCAGCAATGTCAGAAAGGGAGGTGGAGGAGTATAGGCAACGCAGGGAGATTACTGTAGAGGGCCGTGATGTTCCCAAGCCTGTGAAGAGTTTTCATGATGTCGGCTTTCCAGGTACTGTGCATCGATTTTTGATTTTTTTTTTTTAAATCCCTTCGATTTCGAGTTTTCTTGTTGCCTATGTTTATGTGTATTGTTTTAGAGGTTCGAGGTAGTCAATAGATTGCTGATGAGAGGTTCCTTGCCACATGGTATTGGAATTGCTGTGTTGCGGGAGATGCTCTTGATTTAACTGAAACCTAGGATAGTCATTCTCCTGGGAGGGTTGGTTACGAGTTTTAAATTTTTCAATCAGCCTATCTGGAGCATTGCGATAACAGACTTTTTTTGACAGCTTGTTTAACTTAGTTTGAATAATTTGTGTGGGTGGAGAGGCCAATTGTTCTAATTTTTATAACTGGTTGGTGGATAGGATAGGAAAATGTGGATTCTGTATATGATTCATTCTTTAAAAAACATTAATTTGTTACTCTTAACAGGTACTGTTGGATTTGAAATGAACTTTAAGTTTTACCTTTTAAATCATTGTTAGGATTTATAATCCAATTGTTTCTCATGCATAGGGATAGAATAGGGGATACTATGATCAATTGATTCCCTAGGGATTGAGGCACCGTTTGTTTTTGTAGTGCAAAATCGTTTTTGAAAAAAAAAGAATTTTTTTGCTTCAAATTACTTTTTTGGTGTTTTTAGATTGTTTTGATGTGTTGATGTCAAAAATAAATTTTAAAAAAATGAAAAAAAATGTTATTTTGATGTATTTCCATACGAAAAACATTTTGAAAAACAACCACTACCACAATGCCAAATGGGCTCTGAGGGGTGTATTTCTCGAGTTGAAAGTTTTGACATGTTCTTCAAGATTTAATCTGCTATCTCTTATAGAGACGGGGCTAGCATTTTTTGCAGCCTCAATGGCTATTTAGATTAGGATTAAGATGCTACTTAATATAATACTTCCTAGCTACTTAATTTGGTGCTGCAAACTATTTCATTAGTTTGGTAAAATCACTCATTGTTGTTTCAAGAGATGTGAGATTATATTCTGTTCACACTACATGAGAGGGGAAGGTTTACTCACTAGAGTGTAACCCAACTATTAGATTACTTTCTCCCCACATCCCCTTCCTTCTCCTATAGAAAAAGAGAAAAGGATGAAAAAGGGAATTAGGAAATAAAACTAGTGATAGAAGATTTCAGAATAGAAAATGGTTGGGTAAGCAACCGACAACACTTAATCAACTAGGATAGGCTATTTTTCGCGTCAATTGAGTTCACTGAAATGGATAACATTTCAGAATGGACAAGTCTTTACATTGGATAACAACGTTTATTTGAGAAAACTAATAATCAGAGATTGCAGAATAGAACATGACTGGGTAAGCAACCTACAGCACTTAATCAACTAGGATAGACAATTTTTTTACATCAATTAAGTTCACTGAAATGAATAACATTTATATGGAGAGTCTTTAAATTGGATAACAACGTCTATTTGGTAGTAAACTTATTAGATCTATTTAGTTTTCTCCAGATTATGTTCTGCAAGAAATCTCAAAAGCTGGGTTTACTGAACCTACACCTATACAAGCTCAAGGATGGCCAATGGCTTTGAAGGGCCGTGATCTCATTGGTATTGCTGAAACAGGATCTGGGAAGACACTGGCTTACCTATTGCCTGCAATTATCCATGTTAATGCCCAACCATTTTTAGGTAAAGGTGTATTTGCTAGTTTTTGAAGCTTCTTATATCATTTCACATGCCTCCATATGTTTTTGATTGTGTTGTTAGCTTAAGTTTGGGCCTGTTCTCCCTTATTTTCCAGCTCCTGGAGATGGACCTATTGTATTAGTTTTAGCTCCAACACGTGAACTTGCTGTTCAGATACAACAAGAAGCAGCTAAATTTGGTGCATCATCAAGGATTAAAAATACATGCATATATGGTGGGGTTCCAAAGGGACCTCAAGTGCGTGACCTCCAGAAAGGTATGTGGTGGTTAACATTGGATGACATTGCTTCTGCACTATTTTTAGAAACATGAACTAATTCATGGCCTTTGAGCATAAGCACTGAAACAGCTTTACTATTTATTAGAAGTTTAGAACTTCATTTAATGGTGTATCTGGATTACACAGGTTGTTGTTTGAGTTTTTCTAAAGTTGTGACTTTGTTTTTGACTCAGGTGTTGAAATTGTCATTGCTACACCTGGAAGGTTGATTGATATGATGGAGTCACATCATACAAATTTGCGAAGGGTTACTTATCTGGTTCTGGATGAAGCAGATCGGATGTTAGACATGGGGTTTGAGCCTCAGATACGAAAAATTGTTTCTCAGGTTCTTGTTTTTAACCTTATCGTTTTCTCTTTGTTAGAAAATAAACAATCTTGGTAAAGTGGTGCGAAGATAAATAACTCTTCATTTAAGTTATGCACAACCAGCTTGGATATTGTTGTTAAGCCCATTGCTTTTTGCCTCTTCTTTTCCTGGTATGTTTAGTAATGCTGTTGCTATTAAGTTTGAACTCTTTCAAAGTTGGATGTGGTTAGCAGTTGTCTTATAAAGCCTCCATGGAAGAAGTGAACTATGGATTGATTGTTGGTTCCTGCCGGGTTAGAATTTTAATGGCAGCCTAGCTGTATAACCAGTCAAATGGCTGGAAGTTGTTTGATTCCTTGGTATGCTGTTTTTTGTTTTGTTTTTTTGATATGGTAAGTTCACCATGGGCAACTGAAGGAGAAACTTGGTTCTACTATGATTAGCTCAAAAACATGCTAGATATATAATTTAGAATGCTGATTTTATAGGAAGTTGAATTTGGAGGTTATCTTTTCTCGTTTTTTTTTGCCAATCATGTGAAAAAAGACATGAATAGGTGGGAATATGCTTGGAATTCAACCAGGTTTGACTTTACTCTCCATCTGATACATGCTGTTGTTGGCTGGCACAGGTGTAATTATAAAGTGCAGCCTACCAAACATTCAAAAGTTAATAAAGTGTGTAGCACTAAGATTGATTGGAATTCTCTGTAGTCTCTCCCTTCTCTCTTCATGCACATGTGCACACTTGTTTGTGCTCGCAGGTGCACACCTTTTCTATTTAGTTCTACCCTTGTGATTATTTTTTTACAATTGCCCTTTTGATCTGTATGCAGATTCGACCAGATCGTCAAACTTTGTACTGGAGTGCAACCTGGCCTAAAGAGGTTGAACAACTGGCACGGCAGTCTCTTTACAATCCATACAAAGTAAGATAGTTCTTCTATGCAGGCATAATATTTTCTGCAATTGATTTTGTGAAATTAAATGGACCCTCTTGTGCCTTTGTCAAATTGAGAAGATTAGTCAAATGTTTAAATACATGACACAAACTCCATCAACATTCTATGAAGTGTGATAGAATAATGTGACCCACTTCCATCACAAAACTAATAGAAATTGATAATGTCGTGCTGCATAATCATATCTTGTACCAAAAACATTCATCCTAAGAACAGAAGTTTTTCAAGGATAAAATATCTTGTACTGAAATCCCTCGTCGTGGCACTTGGATCAAGTGATTCAATCTTCTACAACTCTCTCACTCCCGTAATTGAGAACACCCAGATGGAATGTATTTGTGTTGGGGATGATTGAATGAATGGAATAGCCAAACTGTTCCATGTTGCCCCACATTCCCAGCCCAAAGGAGCTGCCACTACCACCAATCCAATAAGTTCCAAGTCATCAATCCCAATAGAGCCACCTCAGAACCTACAGACATCTGCAACCTTGTGGTGAAGGAACCTACCAATGTCTTATTATCCTAGGATCATGGACAAATTCCAGACATATTGATCACTAATTATTCAAATGAGCTGGTGCTTATCAAGAGCAAGAACAGCATACCCATTTCATATGCTGATCTTGATAAGTACTGCTGTATGACCATCCAACAAGTAAGGATGGTTGCCACTATCTTCTACATGTAATCTCAAATAAGAACATCATTAATTTGCATACTTGCCTTGTATAGCTTGAATTGAAACAAATTTGGAAGCTTATGTGGTGTTTTTTGTTTTTCAATTCTCATTTGTTTCTTCAATGAGTTGGATTGATAAAGATAAAAATGATTTGAGTTCATGAAGTTGATTCAGGTTAAAAATTAGAGCTACTCATGTTATAACAAAGTTAATCAAATCCTAGTTAATTTAGTCTTGATTAGTTTTACTCATTTTGGGCTATTTCCAATATAGTTAGATTATCTTACTTGGGTTACATCTCATAGATTGATATGGGTTCTTATGTCATTTAAACCAACATGAGAAGTTAAGATTCTCGGCAATGTTCATCTGGCCACCAAAAAGTTGCAATAAACAGCATTCCATTGCTCAATGTTTCTAACTTCTATTTTTTTTAATGGTTTCTAGTCTTCTTATGAACTGTCCAGTAGCATTGTGATCATTCAATCAATAGTATTGCCCAAGGCCTTTGCCTCTTTGGATTCTCATTCTGTTATTGTTGTTGCATGATTTTTTAGTTGGTTCTCCACTTGGATATTATTGTGCAGGTGATAATAGGATCTCCAGATTTAAAAGCTAATCATGCAATACGTCAACATGTGGACATTGTTTCGGAGAATCAGAAATATAACAAGTATGATGTATTCTGTGTTTGTCTTATTGCTTCTTGTTTTTATTAGCATCTGTCTGCTGTTGTACATGAAATAGGATTTTTCACATATCTTTCTTCACATTCCAGATTGGTGAAGTTGCTGGAAGATATCATGGATGGTAGTCGTATTCTGATTTTTATGGATACCAAGAAAGGTTGTGATCAGATCACTCGACAACTTCGCATGGATGGTTGGCCTGCTCTCTCAATTCATGGAGATAAAAGTCAAGCAGAAAGAGACTGGGTCCTGTCTGAGTTCAAAGCTGGCAAGAGTCCTATAATGACTGCAACAGATGTTGCTGCTCGTGGATTAGGTACACTTTATATACATCTTGCTGATGCTACAAAGCTTTGGTTTTTGACTGTGCTCTATGTCCCTAATTTTGGTTGTTACATTGTTGTCTGAGATTTTTTGCCTTTATTTCTGAATGTCACTTATCCCCTTTATAAAGAACCATAACTCAATAAGGCCAGCTCACTAAGGCAGCCGATTCTCTCTCATTTATAAACTCATCTCATTCTCTTTTGTACAAAGAATAATCATCTTTCTGTAGTTGCTGTCATTATTCAAGCCTCCCTTTATCTATGGTTGATAGCTTTATCATTCTCCTTTATCAACACACTTTCTGATCCTTTTTGTTTTACCTTTTCTGTCCATCTCAATTTTATATATTCTTATCCAGACAAAGTTATTCTTTTCAATTTCCGACATCTTTTGAATAAACCGTTTGTAGCTTTGTTATTGCTTTTCCATCATGTATGATCTTCTTGTTATCTTTCTTGCCTGAAATTTAGTTACAGCATTCAAGTCTTGTTCGTGGATATGTTCTCGGATCATGCAGTCTGATGGAGTTTGTACCCTTAGTATTCCCTAGCACATCTTTTTGTATATATTCTTTGTGAACTCTAAAATTCAGCTCTCTGTATGGTCTGTTGTGGTTCAATGTAATGGCGATCTTCACATTAAATCACTGCTCTGTACATTTTGTTTTTCAAGGATATCCTTTCCTCATTAGCTTCATTATTTTTTTTTTTGGTTTTTTTTTTTTGTCATTTTGGCGATGGCTATTGTAATTTGTTTTACAAGCTTTCAGCTCTTAATCTTTCCTTTTCTTTTGTTGGAGGTTGTGGGGAAGGGTGTTGTTCATCTGGCCCCATAATTTGATTGAATTTATATCTTCTCTTTTGGAGTTCTGTGGGGCACTGAACTCTCTTTGGGTTTGCTAGGGTGTACATTGGTTCTTAGGTTTTTGACCTCTGCAAAACTCTTAAGGGGAGGATCATCTCTTGACTTAGCCACCTCAGTTTCTGGATTCCTTATTGTTTTGTTTTGGTGGCAGATGTGAAGGATGTTAAATATGTGATCAATTATGACTTCCCTGGGTCCATAGAGGATTATGTTCACCGCATTGGCCGGACAGGAAGGGCAGGAGCAAAAGGAACAGCTTACACTTTCTTCACAGCTGGGAATGCCAGATTTGCTAAAGAACTTGTCACCATACTCGAGGAAGCTGGACAGAAGGTCAGTCCAGAATTGACAGCAATGGCTCGTGGTGCACCTCCTCTACTATCTGGTTAGTTGTCTGGAACCTTTTCTTTTCACACTGTTTTTTTGGGGGAGGGCTACAACCTTAATAATGGCGCAATGACTCTATGGATACTTTTTGGGGATATTTCCTCTTCTTTTTGGGTGGGGGCCCAGGTGGCAAGAGTATCTGGATTGTTTTGGGAAACCAGATTCTGTGGACATTGAATGCTATGATTTGTTTAGATAGAAATTTAAGGTCTGGATCCATTATCATAAAGTGGCCACTTGAAAACATGAGCCGTGGCCTCCATTGGAGTTTTTGCGCTCATTATCACTGGTAAAAGTCTCAAGAGGTCGTTGAAATGTGTAAGAGGCATAGGTTTAGTGTGCCAAACTGCCACTGGTTTAAGGATTTGATTTCTTACTTCATTTCCTATGATAGATGTTGATTTTTGTGACGGAGCTCCTCCATTCACTTGGATGAACTTTTGCCAGAGTGATGTGCTGATAAAATACTGATCGCATTATGTGGTTTGCATGTGCATGTTTTACAACTATTAGTGTGTGTGTGTGTAGCATTCTTATTTACTAAAGCTCTACTTTGCTTCTCTATCTCACCAGGCCATGGGGGTTTCCGAGATCGGGGGAGGGGTTACAGTGGTGGCCGGTCTTGGAGCTAATGAATGAAGGTGGGCAATGAGCTCGGTGACCAATAGTGTTATCAAAAGAGTTGTATGGTAGAGAAATAGAGGCAAGGATTCTTTTTTCGGATTTGGATTGCTTATTTTTACTTGAATGGTCTAGCTGCCTATATATACGAGGGCAGTTGGCTATGTAAGATAACTGTTAAATTATGCCCAAAGGATCTTGCATCTGTGCTATAGAGTTGAAAGTTCAGTAGCTCGCTCATTAACAATTGAGTTGCAAGTTATGATACCACTGTATCAATATTATTCTCTTTTTTCCTCTGTTTTCCGGAATAAATTTGTAAGTTTAATCCAACTCCCAAACATCCAAGAGTTACGAATATGTAATACATTAAGAAGGCTAAAGCAAATAAGCTTCAAATGGACGGTCAAACCAGTTATCCCTCAACTTTTTGATGACTTAATAAATGTTGGATCGATATCTACTTCTTCTGAACCGCTGCTCTCTGTTGAAAGGTTCTTCTGAAACGTTTCTTCCATTTCGCCAACCTGCTGTATGACAGCAGCATCTGGATGATTCGACAACTTGGTGCGGAGACTCAATTTGGGCTTTTCCTTTCGAAGGTAAACAAGGGAATCAAATTCAAGACAAACGAGCTCAACCAAGGAGCCTATAATTTGACAGCCTTTTGTTTTGTTTTTAAACGAGGTCATTTTCAAGTTAATTTTGGATGGAGGATTTTTTTTATTAATAAAATTTTATAGTATTTAGAAAATAATTGTTTTCTATGTCTAGTTTAAAGATAAAGTAGATATGACTAGGAAAGAGAAGTTTTAAATTAAGATATTTTTATTATTTTTGGTGTATTATGAATTATTTTTTTTATTTTTTTTTATTCAAGGTACATTTTAAGTGGGTCATGTGTCTCACCTTCTTTTTTTTTTATGTTTATTTTTTTTTCAAGGGGATTCTTGAGAATAATTAATAGAATGCTATTAATTACTGATTACTCTTTGAGTACTATAAATTCTCCACTTGTTATCTGTTTTCATTAGATAGAGTTCTTTGAAATGGTTAATTTTCCCACCCATGGTTGAAATTTTGGTCTTTTACAATCTAAACCTAGATTTCAAGTATTAATTAATTTGATAAAAATCATTATTATCACAAGCAATTATAAACATAAATAAAAATAAAATAATAAAAAAAGTATGGGTGACCTTTTGACAAAAAAATAAAAAGAACATGGAATTTCAATAAGGAAATTAAGTACAGTATATTGTTTTCAGTTTTTAAGATGATGATGAAGAAGAAGGAGGTTCAAAGCTCTTCACCATCGAACTTTGTTTTTATTTTTTTATTTGTATTTTATCAAATCATTTAGGTCTTTTTGATTTTTTGTTCATTTTATTTGTTGTAGAAAAAAAAAAAACCCTCATCATCTATAACCAGCCCTCGTCACCTATAACTACTTTATTGTTATATGCATAAATTGAACTAAAGGAGAAGGCCAAGTTTCAAATAATTGTAGCCATTACCAAGATACACCATTATACTTTCAATCCATACCATTCCATTAATTAATTGTATGCACACGAGTTGCGTGTCTCCCATGCTAGAGTAAAGAGGTTAGTTAAGGAGAATAGTTTGGAAGGAATGCTATATATATAGCATGATTGTAATAGAATAGGGATATATAAAAACATGATGAATGCATGTTAAGAGGCCATTTTCATTGCCCACTCCCCCTTATTATTTCCTTTTCTTCTTTAATTATGTGATTGTCATTTGTTCATACTACTGGATCCAAAATACCTCTTGTACCAATTGGTATCAAAGCCTTCGAACCTTGAAAATAGGCCATGGCTCAAGACACTAGAGCATAGGATTTGAGGCACTTGGAAGACTCCCTTGAGTGTTGACAAGGAGCACACAACGAAGTATGAACAAGTAACAAAGTTATTGGAAGGGTATAGTTAGAAATTGGATAGCTATGAGGCTAAATTTGGTAAGATTAAAGACTTGATAAATGGGTTAACTTTCTAGGAAAGTACCTTCCTTCAGAAGCTAAGCTTGGTGATACTAAGGGTAATTAGGTTGTTAATCAAGGGCAATTAGGGTGCTCCAATAGTGCTACTAAGGGTTGTTGGGTAAAGGAAGAAGGTCAACAATTTCATTAGGTATACAAACCCAAACGCGACTTTTCTAGTGTTAATGGGGATGGTGTCCATAAATGGTGATTCAGATGTAACCAGTATTTTGAAATTGTAAAAATGAATGATTCTAAAAAACTCAAATAAGCATTCTATTACATGAATGAGAGAGCCTTATATTGACATCAGAATTTTTTTAAGAGCCACCTTAAGGTCCTATGAGATGAATATATTGAAGTACTGTGCCACTAATTTAGGGGCAGAAGGATCCTTTAGAAGAATTGAAAGATCTTAAGCAAATGGTAGACTTAGAAACTTATATATAAGAATTCGACACGCTCTGGAATAGGACAGAGATGACTAAGAGGCAGGCTCTGATATTTTTTCTTTAAGGATTAAAAGTTGAGATTAAGAACATGGTCAAAGTTTTTGAACCAAAAACCTCATACCAAGTTTACAACCTAGTTAGACTACAAGAACATACTATCAACCATAAACACCATCATCAATCTTACAATACCCATCAATCTACAATTAACCTACAAAAATCTTTATTTTTCTAAAATATCACTAAAACCACATTTTTTCACAATAACAACACTTCAAAACCAGTTTCCTTCCATCAGAAAATTCCAACCACTAATAACTACCCTGTTAAACCCCCTACAAACCCATTAAAGCCATTAGAAACAAGGAATTGGATGAGAGAAGGGTGAAGAGACTGTTTTTAGTGTGATGAAAAATTTATACTAGGACATTGATGCAAAAACAAGAGGTTTGTATTCATTATGCGTTTTAGAAGATGAGGATAATGCAAAAGAGGAAGTCCAAAAAGCTAGTGAGATTAACTCTAATATTCTCACCCCTTAAATATCCATCAATGCCTTGAAGGGTACTTCAAGTTTTCAAACACTAAGAGTGACTAGAAAAGTTGACAAGTCTCTACTCTATATCATGGTTGACTTCGGCATCACATATAATTTTATCAATGCTCAAGTGGTCAAGAAACTGAACTGTACCCTAACTCCTATTAGACCCTTGGTAGTAGAAGCAATAAATAGTGGTAAGATGACTTATGCCTATATGTACAAAGGATTTATGTGGGAAATGAAAGGAGTTAAATTCTCAGCTGATGTGTTTGTGGTGGAACTTAACAACTGTGACATGGTGTTATGAGTATAATGGTTGGCTATATTGGGTAACATCATATCCAATTACAATGAATTATAGATGTCTTTTGTATGGCAAAGGTAGGAAGTATTGTTGTAAGGAGAAAGTCTAGTTAAGCTATAAACTATTGGATTCGAGCAATTCAATAGTTTGATTGACAATCTCACTTAGCTAGTGGAGGTCAGTCTATGTAGCCTAAGATTAATGGAAGAGGGTGATCACATTGTAAAGTCTATGACCACTAATTTACAACCTTTGTACTAGGAATAATTCTACTATAGAAAATTTGTTGAATTCTTACCAGGATATTTCAAAGGAACTTATTGGGGTACCATCCCTTAGGACAAACAACCATGCTATTCCTCTCAAGGAGGATCACAACCAATCAACTTGAGGCCCTATAAACACCTTGGCTTACAAAAATATGTAGTAAAGAAAATAGTGATAGTGTTAGATTCTGGCATAATACAACACAATACCGATCCATTTACCTCACTGGTGGTTTTGGTAAAAAAGAAAGACGACACTTGAAGGTTGTGTGTGGATTATAAGGCCCTTAACAAGATGATGGCAAATGACAAGTTCTCTATTCCTATAGTAAAAGAGTGCTGGAAGAACTAATAAGAGCTACTGTGTTTTCTATAGTTGATATAAGGGCAAGATATCACCAAATTAGAATGCTTAGTGGAGATATACACAAGATAGCCCTTAGAACTCATAATGACCATTATGAGATTTTAGTCACGCCATTTGGCTTAACAAATATACCATCTACCTTTTAAAGCTTAATAACTGACATATTCAGAAGGCATTTATAAAAATGCACACTTGTCTTTTTCTTTGACATCTTAGTGTATAGCCCTACATTGAAAAATCATATAGAACAATTGTAGATAGTGTTTGAAATATTTAGAAGTTAAAGTCTCTTTGCTAAAAAAAGAAAATGTGTCTTTGGTAGTTAAAGTCTTTTTGCTAAAAAAAGCAAATGTGTCTTTGGTAGCTCTCAAATTGAATATCTAGGCCATGTGATAACCAAAACTAGGGTGGTTATCGATCCATAAAAAATCTAGGCAATAGTGAACTGGCCAGTACCTAGAAATGTAAAAAAACTAAGGGGTTTCTTTGGGACTAATAGGTTATTATAGGAGATTTGTCAAGGGGTATGGAACCATATGTAAACCTTTAACCTAGTTGTTAAAGAAGGATTCCTACAAGTGGAATGAAGAGGCTACTATTGCCTTTGAAATGCTTAAGCTATCTTTGACAAAACCCCTAATTTTGACCTTGCCTGACATGACTAAGATGTTTGTTATTGAGATAGATGCACCAAGGGCTAGAGTAGCAGCTGTGTTGATGCAGGAGGGACATTTTATAGCTTTCTTTAGCAAAGCTCTGGGTCCAAGGCAATAAGCTTTATCTGCTTATGAAAGAGAGATGTTTGGTATTCTACAGGTTGTGGCTCAGTGAAAACATTACCTCTAGGGCATACACTTTTGAAAATGACTAATCATTCTAGCCTCAAGCATCTGTTAGACCAGAAGGTAACCTACCATTCTAAAATTTTGGCTTACTAAACTACTTGGGTTTAACTGTGAAATTGAGTATAGGAAGGGAAAGGACAATGTGGATATAGATGCTCTGTCAAGGGTTTCAAGTGGGCAATTGAGCACTATAGTCATGACCTTAATCTTTACACCTGTCATGGATGAAATTAGAAAGACCTATAAGACTGATGTTAGCTTAAAAGCCATTATACAAGATTTAATGAGAGAACTGATTAGTACTTAAAAGTGCATTTTTATCATGGTTTTATATCATCATTTTGCACTTGAAGTATCAATAACTCCTTAACTAAAATATGTTTTATAATAATGTATCTAATAATATAAGATACCTATAATTTGTGGTAAATGTCTATTTTTAATGCAGGCCTATCACATAAATGAAAGGATTGATTGATGACTTGAAGAACTTAAATTGCAAGGATAAAGAGATGGCCAAACTTAGAAAAGAGATGTCGGTGCAATCCAA